AGAGAGAGAGAGAGAGAGAGAGAGAGAGAGAGAGAGAGAGAGAGAGATATTTCCGTTCCTCTCTCCAGCAGTGACCGGAGGACGAGCCGCTGTCGCTTCTGTTTCTCCGCTCGGTTCGGGGAGGATTCTCTCTCTCCGCGGGGGGAACACACACTTGTCGCAGCGGGCTGCTCACTGCGGGACCAGTTCGGGGACCGGAAGACTCCGGTGGGGATCATGCCTTCAGCGGATCTGTGGCCGCTCCGGGTCCGGGTCTCCTGATGCTCCTGCTGGACTTGTTGCAGCTGGAGGGAGACACTACGAACACAGACCGTGAGTTTCAGGACCGGAACCGGATTTTAGTTGAAAACTGAAGTTTCTCTGTCTGGATGTGACTTAGTTTGGATTCTTCTTCCTGTTTGTATTGAAACAAACAATACCGGACTGATGAGGACTCGCTGATCACGTGCGGATTTGTTTGTTTTACGCATCGTCTTGTGCGTAAAATCCTCTTCGTGTCCCGGAGAAACTGATCGGTTCCGTCCGTCGCCAGATGTACCCTCGGTGCTCCGGGGCTCCGTGAATCTTCCTCTAACGAGCTCCGGGACCAGCTCCGGGACCAGGACCAGCATGGCAGGAGGAGTGGCTGCGTGGCTGCCGTTCGCCCGCGCGGCGGCCATCGGCTGGATGCCGGTGGCCAGCACGCCGATGCCGGTTCCGCCGAAGCAGCAGCGCCGCGGCCACGCGGGGCTCATCGTCATCAACGTGAGCGGAACAAAGTTCCAGACGTGGCGGGACACTCTGGAGCGGTACCCGGACACCCTGCTGGGCAGCACGGAGCTGGACTTCTTCTTCCACGAGGACACCAACGAGTACTTCTTCGACCGCGACGCGGACATCTTCCGCCACGTCCTGAACTTCTACCGCACCGGGAAGCTGCACTACCCGCGGCAGGAGTGCATCTCCGCGTACGACGAGGAGCTCGCGTTCTTCGGCATCATCCCGGAGATCATCGGGGACTGCTGCTACGAGGAGTACAAGGACCGGCGGCGGGAGAACCAGGAGCGGATCCAGGATGACGAGGAGGACCAGACCAACGACCTGGTGGCGGCGGACCTGGGCTTCCGGGAGACCCTGTGGCGGGCCTTCGAGAACCCGCACACTTCCACCATGGCGCTGGTCTTCTACTACGTAACCGGCTTCTTCATCGCGGTGTCGGTGCTCGCCAACGTGGCGGAGACGGTCCCGTGCGGCGCGGCGCCCAACCGCGTCCGCGAGGTGTCGTGCGGCGAGCGGTACGCGCTGGCCTTCTTCTGCCTGGACACCGCGTGCGTCATGATCTTCACGGTGGAGTACCTGCTGCGGCTGCTCGTGGCACCGAACCGGTACCGGTTCGTGAAGAGCGTGATGAGCGTCATCGACGTGGTGGCCATCATGCCGTACTACATCGGCCTCGTGATGGCGGACAACGAGGACGTGAGCGGCGCCTTCGTCACGCTGCGCGTCTTCAGGGTCTTTCGGATCTTCAAGTTCTCGCGACACTCCGCGGGACTTCGCATCCTGGGCTACACGCTGAAGAGCTGCGCGTCGGAGCTCGGCTTCCTGCTCTTCAGCCTCACGATGGCCATCATCATCTTCGCCACCGTCATGTTCTACGCGGAGAAAGGATCCAGCGCCAGCAAGTTCACCAGCATCCCAGCAGCCTTCTGGTACACCATCGTCACCATGACCACGCTGGGGTAGGTCGGGGGGGGGGGGTCTCAGTCAGTTCTGAAGAGAGAACTTGAGTTTGTGTTTTCAGCTGAAAGCTCCGGTAGTTTAGTGACTAAACTAAGTTCTGCTTTCACTTCCTGTTGTTTAAAGTCACACAGTTTGAACCTGTTGATCCTCCTCCTCCTCCTCCTCTCTGTGTCTCTGTCCATGGTGCCGAAGTTGAACTGACTCTCATGAGTTTCGGATGATTTCCTCTCGTTTCATGAAAACAGTCTTTTCAAAATAAACTTCCGTCTCCACAGGAAACGACTCTGTTCAGAACTATTTCGATGTTTTGTGTTTCTGAAGATCAGAAGTTTCACATGAAGAAGAATCGTTGGTGTTTGTTGGATTCGTTCACCTCCGTCTGTCTTCTGTTGTCTTTATTCTGATGACATATCTATGACTCACGTCACGTTATTCTTCATATTTATCTGAGAACAGATTGATGTTCAGATGAAGATCTTTAAAGTTTTATTTTGAAAGTCTTGGACAAACAGTCTGCAGCTGTTTGACTTATTGATCGTTAGACACAACTGTGTGTGTGTCTGTGTGTGCGTGTATGTGTGTGTGTCTGTGTGTGCGTGTATGTGTGTGTGTGTGCGTGTGTCTGTGT